AACGAAAAGAACCATAGTTATACGTTTTGGTTAGTTAAGGGACAAATGTTAACAGATTTTTAATTGAGGGAGCATCGTTCCAATTCGATTAAAGTTGTAGGTACCATTATAACTTAAATGAGATAAACCACACCAGTAAAAGCAATTTACATTGTAACAGCATCGTCGTCATCCTGTCGATGTTGAGATTTTGTTTGAACTGTTTAATTTGAGATGCAGATAGCCTCCTTCGCAAAAGTCTCCTTAAACTGCAGATTTGTGATGGCACAAAATAATAAGTAGGTGATTAACTAACTTGTAGCTAATCGTGTTAATATGACAGTAAGTACCAGAAAGAAAAAACACGATGAACCAACCCCGGAGTTGAGCACAAGTTCTCAAACACAACAAACTCGTATTCTAAATCCCATTGCAGCTGAGCAATATATAGCGTCAAGGAATTATCCGAAGATCGCTTAACCGTAGCAAGAGCACTCTCAGGGAACAATCTCATTCTTCTTCTGTCCAGGAGTCCATTTCTATCTCTTTCTCTTGTATTACTTCTAGCTAGAACTGAATGCGGAAAATATGGGAAAGCATCTCGTGATGTATTTAACCAGAAAAATTGTGATGCTTCCACATTCTCAAGTGATTTAGACCCTTTTGTACGTACATCTAATTCCCATTCCGTTTGAAGAGCGAAAGGAAGCTATACGAAACAAATGGCAATGGCTTCGTTTCCTCTGAATGAATGAGCTTAATTAAAAACCGAATAACAAATGGCAAAGGCTTCCTTAATTAATTTGGTCCAAACTTGTAACAAAGAAAGGAATAACATCCCTAACTAAAGATTATAAGTAAAATTAAAAACTGAATAAGCTTAATTTCAGTAAATGAATCCAAAAATACTCAATCGTCCATATATTATAATTTAGGGGATACCCAAATATATATAATATACCAAATAGTTTTCAAATTCGGAGCAGAAAATGCTGGTAGCTAGCAAGCAAAGAAACAACTAAGAGGGAGAGATCAGGAAATTATGTCAAGTAAGAGATGATGAATGCGAACGGAACATAGAGCATCAACCCAATGACAATGCCAAGTTGCCAACGGAATCCACGATGAGCAAGTGAGCAAATCAGTCCACAGCAGCAAGAGCTTGAAACTGTTCGTCCGAGAAGGCTGCTTCCATGACATGGTGCAGGCTAATATCCCCACCATTCTCCCAGAAGGACCTGACCAAATCATTAGACCAACCACGCAATAGCGTCACCCCTGGACGAGGCAAAGCGTCGGCCACCTTGGACGCTATGAATCTTGTTGCGAGGTGGAATTGCGGAGGAGGAGCGACACCAACCACCCTTGTCAGTGCAGGAAAAGAAGCAATGCTGACTGGTGTTGCTAATTTCAGAACCTGGCCAGATTCTTCATCTCTAAATCTCAAATTCAAATTATGTCCCCCTCTGTTGGGTGGCGGTCGGAGTAGGAATTGTGGATCTTTATTTGTTGGAGAAGAAGATATGAGGATATAAATTGGGTCCGGGATTATAATTCTCATGATTATTTATCCTTGTTTTGCAAGTAATACGATTAATAATGTATTAGGATTTATAAAAATCACAGTTTTAATAGAATTAGGACTGCAACCGTCTTTCACTTTTTAACAAAAACTACAACAACAAAACCTTATTTATCCTTCTAAATCACAGTTTTCCTTTTTTTTTGTTTGTAATTTTCTGTTTCGTTTTACAAAACCATTTAATTTATAAATAACATTAAAAGAGCGTTTGATAATTTTTGATCCCTCACCTCAGCCGAGTTGATAAATATCTTTAGCTCAATACGTAATTAAGATTGTTTGTTCAATTTATTGGAGCTGAATACGTAATTAAGATTGTTTGTTCAATTTATTGGAGCTGAGCAGTGTGCCATACCTAGTTTCTTTGGTTTAGAATTGTCAAGCAAGTCATGCTGCCCTGGTTCCACGCTTGTTAAAGCTTTTAGTTTGAAGCAAGCAGCATTAGCGACAGGGTTTAAGGTGTTTGAGTTTAATATCAAGTAAGAGTGCTATTTTTAGATTCTGAAACTCCAGAGCCATAAGAGAGAGAATTTCCAAGATGCAAAGGCCCTTTGCGACCTTGGCTCAGCGGAGCATGGTTGGAAAGTTGAAATTTTAATAAATGACGACAACTGTGGCAACGCGGGGAGGAGGAAGAAGTACTAAGGCAAGCAGCATTAGCGACAGGGTTTAAGGTGTTTGAGTTTAATATAATAGCACTCTTACTTAATATTAAACTCAAACACCTTAAATCCCTGCTTGCCTTAGGGCTTCTTCCTTCTCTTCTCGTTACCAGAGTTGTCATCATTTATTAAAACTTAACTTTCCAACCATGCTCCCAGAGGCAAGGTCGCAGAGGGCTTGCATCTCGGAAATTCTCAACGACAACTCTATTATGGCTCTAGAGTTGCAGAATCACTGTTTTGTTATTACTCAAGAGGCTTGTCACCTCTCTCTCCAATGGAAGGGAATCATTTCTTGTCTTGATAACATCTCGGAGCGCCTTCAGTGAAGAGGGGAAAAACGATCGGTATAAATAGACAGCCATGGAATTCAATTTGGTTTTGGAGGGTAGAGATTGAGCTGGGACCGATCAGACCCTTCTTAAGTTGAAAGTCATGCAATTACAATGCCATTTCTTGTCATGAACTTATCCTCGCAATGCAACTCGAATGATACCTTGCAAAAGACTTTTTTTATTGGGCTAATTAGGCATGCAATTACAAGGTGTCATGAACATATCCCTCACAATGCAACCGACATGATAAAATTTCACAAATTTATCTATATATTCATAAACTTACATGAAAAATACAATTAATATATATATATATATCCCACTAATATTAGGGAATCACAAAAGGACTTTCTTTTTATACTCTTAGCCTCTTAGGGCTCTTTTGGTGGGCTAGATAGGAATAGGCATCAAGGATAGGTTAGGCTTTGTAAAACAAGACTTGTAATCTGTGTAATAGGATAAGTTAGATAGTCCATTTTATTCTAGATTCATAACTCATCATGTATAATCTAGTTTATCTCACAGTTTGATATAATAAACAACGGAGTGAACTCAAGTCCATTTTAATTGATCACAACATATGTTCCAACTGGCCCACCAAACAAGCCCTTGCATTCTTATCTGACCCTGCATGCTCACAAAAAGAGTGGATTCACTCCCTTAATGCAATATTTTTTTGCATATGGAATATGGAAATGGGTTTCTTTACTTATTTTTTGGGTTGATGATGGGAAGATGTTAAAATGTAGGTTGGTTGGCCTATGCATTTCTTCAAAACCAAAAGTAGGGAAATATGTCAAACATGAAATTATTGACATGACCACTGCCCATGCTTGACAGTGAAGAACTAGAAATTTTCCCATGGGTTGGTTTTATGTTTTCTTTTCCTCGTGTGTTTTAAAGTGAGTTAAAGAGCGTTTAAGTGTAGAGTTAGTAGTTGATAAGTGGCAAACCCTGACATAGACCAGAATAGTCACAAAGAGCTTTGAGTGCAAAAGATTTGAATTTGCATCAGCATTAAGATTAGAGGATGAGGATTTTCTCCGGATTTTCTTTGTGAGAATCGTATGATCATTATATTTTAGCTGTTCATAGTATATTGTATGGTCAGCTTTCATTAGGTACTATTTGTGTTTAATTTTAAATAAAAATTAACCGTACGATGTACGATAAACAGTTAGAATATAAGGATCCTAAGATTTCCATAATTTGAATTCGGATAGAATCCAAATTCGTCTAGAATTAGGATTAGGGGTGGTCAATATTAATTGTTTTCTAAGTTAGAAATTCCTTTTGTAAAAAGAAATTGCACACATCACACATGTGAGCGTATTATATGTCACACTTCAATACAAACTCATGGCTCACGCAGCAACCCTAAAGAAAATACATCTCACCGTCTCCAATTCCCACTAAGTCACTAATCCAATCATTTTTCTTTTTATCTTACACCAAAAGGCATTTGTTTGACCAAACATTGTATTACATAACATCTTAGGAAGGCTGCAAACAAAAGAAAAAATCGAATATTTATCCAAAATGAGTATGTAATTTTCCAAAATATTCCGGTTTTTTATATTTATTTACCAAAATTATGTTTTGCAATCAAGTTTTGTATTTTATTGTTAATTTTGAATGCACTTTGTTTATTGTTTTTATGCCAATCATACACTTATATATTAAAAATGAAAAGCATATATCACAAAATAAACTGGATTTATATGTAAGTATCTACGGTATACCAAATATTGAGAAATAACAATAAATTTGTAAGTACGAAAAAATTCAAGAATATTAAAAAACTTGCAAAAGAAATGAATTTCTAAATCATGTTTCAAAATTTCCGTGATTACTCCGAATTTGAATATTCTAAAACTTTTGAATTTGAAAAATTACGATTCGATTTGACTTAATTCTACAATTTAAAAAACAAAATTGAAAAAGTCGTGTTTCCAATTCGTCTATCTGACAATCATCCCCAACTGATTGAGCTCAATCAAACTACCCAATAACACAGTCAATTAACTTTCCAAAGAGAGGCTGAAATGCCTCTATGAGTCTTCTCAACCTCTAGAAAGGTAGACTGCTGTAACAAAGCCATCAGCTAGTCCCCTTTTAAAAATAAAAAATAAAATTACCTTTCTAGGCTTGGAGCTAAGCTCATCCATGCGAACTCTCTATTTTTAAAATTCGAATGTAAGATCTCTCACTTACAAATGAAGAGAATACTATTATGCGGTAATACTAAATAACTGTTGTAATGCATTACATACTCTAATATTCATTTACCATAAATGTATCGTGTTTGTGTCGTATGAAATAATCCTAAACTTAAACCCAATTTGTTAACCACCAATACCTATAATTTATCGTGCAAAATTTATCGTTTTATTGCATTGTGTATTACTATCACATCAACTTCTGACTTAGATGCATTCAATCTACGAAAATCGAAATTCACTTTGAAATTTGAAAATTAATTTGGTACATGAAATAATTTACCAAACAAAGATTCAGTAAAAAGTGACTACAAATACAACCAAAGGGTAGATAATGTATGAGAATCAATACATCCTAAAATACACCTTGTATACGGTCAGAGGGAAGAAACAATGATAATACATATCTCATGCAACTGAAGCCAATAACACAACGAAGGAACAACAACAGTAGTGAGACTCGCTTTCTCGAAAATCAGCTGGCCTTCAGAGCAAAACTTACCGGGATATAGCTTCCGTATATGTTCCGTAAAACAGGGTAAAAGCTAACTTTCACTTGAGCACGAACCATCTTGGTAATCTCATAACATGGTCCATTTTGATCTCTCCTCAGTAAGGATTCCACAGTAACTTTCGAGTCATCGCAGGAGGGGCTAATCCAGGAATATCTTGAATGTTCTTGTTGTTTGGATGAACCAGCTGAAATTCAAGATTAAAAATAAAAAACAAGTTAACCATATATCCAGCAGGCAACATCAAACCATCTGAACTCTAGTTCCTAAACAGGAACTAAGTTTCCCAAAATCTGGGAAAGTTACTGCACAGACTCTCGTAACTCACGTTATAAAGGTTCAAAGAAACAAAAGCGACAAATATTTCATGATCAAAGGCAAATTAGTTTATTGCCTGACTAGGTAACTAGGAAATTCAAAATCTGCTTGAATCTAGAATAATGATTAGTTGGAAATTATTTCAGAAGAATACTTGCAACCAAGTAGAGACGTTCAAGTACACCTTATCGCTTCGTTACTTGCTTTCAGAAGCAATGACTATACTTCCGCAACATATGATATTATTTAATATTTAGAAAATGAAACTGCATTGAAGAGCTGAAAATGTAGTATGCAATTGAAGGTCAGGAATAGATCTTCAGCATATAAAAAGCGAATAATCTGGGTGGCTTCAGCAGCAATAAAATGAAAATGATGAGGGTAAAATAACAATACTTCTCTAGCATCTATCAGGCTACACTTTGTGTAACAAAATTAAGAACTCAATTATGTCGATGGAATTTAATACACTTTGGAAACAAAACTAGAAGCAAGCGTGTTTCGTACCTTCACAATAATGATGGCTACGACCCCAATGACAATCAAGACAAGTAATCCCATAATACATCTATCAGTTGCAACCTACCAGGAAATAAAATGGGAAAGAAAGAAAATCATAATAAGTAATAAAAGTAGCAAATATCATCAACATACAAAAAAAGCAAGTGGATAATTCAGAAATTGACCTGCCTACCAATTTCCTTGACCAGCTTAGAAGCTTTCTTGATTGAGAAATGAATAGAGTCCAGCTCGTTGACAATCCTGCTCATTTGTTCAGTCTAAACATGAAAAAAAAAAATTAAAAAAAAATTTAGTTACCATGCCTCTGCAATTTTTATAAGCAATATGAGGAAATACAATTGAATACTAATTACTTGAGCCTTGAGAGCTTGTGTTGTCTCTGTTCCAACATTGATGGTTTCATGAACAACCTATTACAAACACGAACACAAAGAAAAGTCATACTCGAATCATTTTTAACAACGGGTAAGAGCAGTAACAAAGTTTTTCTTCCAATAATCAAATTGATATTTTCCAGATGCACCCACCTTTTTTGATCTCTCAATGGCTTGATCTGTCTCATCCATCATTTGGTTTCCATTATCCATAAGTTGTTGATTCGTCATAGCTGTCAAACATATGGACTCTGCTTAACAAGTAACTCATGTAGAATATATGTTTAATGTCTTTCAGGTAACACAACATGGCATGATTTGTTAGTTGTTACATCAAGCAGAGTTTCTGAACGTTCAAGAAAATGCATCGATCATTTTCAGCATTGCATCTAAACAAAATACTAGTGTCAGAATTATTACCTGAATGCATCTCTCATAGGAACTTCTCTAAACATTAATATGCATTACTTTTTCTTTGTGATATCAAGCGTAACCTCTAACCCTATATCAATTCTTCGGTCCTTTGTAACTGATAGCCAGAGGCATATATCCATTATGCAGTCGCTGTTTTCAATCGTGAATTACTGCAATATAACCCATTCCATACTGGGTAGGAAATCGTTTGATGACACTTCTCACTATTTCTTAATGTTTTTAGTGAACATAGATTGACAAGTACTTTGATAGAGTCAAATTTACCTGTGACTGAATTAATGAACCTCCAACTTGTGACAAAGCACATACATCAAGACCACCAAACCAATTATATAAAGCAACCAAACAAATAGAGGAAAAATTGTAAAAGGATGTATGTGGTATCCTTTGAGCTTCAGAGAGAGAGAGAGAGAGAGGATCTATGTAAGGAAAGAGTGCATTTCAATTGGTGCCTCTCAAGGGTCTATTTTCTTCTCTCCACATCAACCATGCAGGATGTTATGGCATCCACTATATATTTGTACGAGTGTAAGTCTGTCAGTATGATGTGAGTGAGGGTATGTGTGCATGTGCATGAGCATGTGTGTGAGCGCCATATGTAAAACCATAGAATATCAGCGGATGGGTTGATAGTGAATTGTTAAGCCCATAATTAGTGCAAAGTATACAAGGCCAGATTGCATGTTAACAAAAACGTAGATATTTGCTTACCCGAGGCTAGCAAGACATTTTGTTCCCCAAAGTCTTCTGCCGGCCCATCAAAGAGATCAATTTTCTTGTTTTCAAGGTTTGATGCATATCTGTACCATAGGCACACCAAATGTTTCTACAAATTATTATTAGAAAAAAGATATATCATCAATTTAAAAATTAAAATTAAATTAAATTAAATTAAATTAAAAAAAAAAAAAAAACAACAACTTTGACCCAAACATAAACCAGTACTTTGAGCATCCAATGGGACAATTTCAAGAATAACAACAACAACAACAAAACCTTTTTCAAGAATAATGAAAATAAAGTATCTTCCTGTATTGTAAAATCAGGCTTCTTGTTCTATTAAAACTTAGAGAAAAGATTATGTGACTACTGCCTTCCATGACAAGTTACACGTCCATCTATGGTTAAAGTGTAGTGGGGGTGATATGACGGATACATGTTCATCACTACATCAGTCTAAAAAACATCCACGTTAAATATTTGGTAAATATGAGAACGTTGAATAATCATATGTGAAATAATAATTAAGACTCAAAAAACAAGGTGTTTTCTAACACAGGTATTTCATTCTCCAAATTGATATGTAATGCACCTATATATCAACGAAATATCATATATGTAAGCCTGGGATAATAGATGTTAAAGTCAGATGGATACAATACAGTTCATCCACACAAAAATAACTAATATAATGTACACTTAAGAAATACCCAAAAAGGCAAATGAATTGGGTATTTCTGCTTAAGAATCAATGAATGTAATTTCTTGCTGATGCTAACTTACTGTTTTTTCAGAGCCACATATGAATTCAACTCTTTGATCTGCACAAAAGTTCAAGCTATTAACACAAGTATAATGTGTTAAAAACAATTAATATACACAAGAAGATAATTAAAACAAAGGAAATTAGAAAAGGAAAAAAAAAAAAGTAAGCATAGCAGAGTCTGGAAATTAAATAAGGATTTAAAACACACCATTGACTGCTTTTTCTCATTCAGCATTCTACTGGTATTTGGGTCATTTATTCTCTCCATATTCTTGACTTCTCTATCAAATTCTTTGATAAGCCTGAAAACAACACAACATATAACCTTATTCACAGTACACCCAAATTGATGAGTGTCACATGTTGGATTTCAAACATCAGAAAGAAGTTGAATTGGATAACAGTAACTCTTACAAATGAAGGCCAGAAAATCTGAAGGCAGGAAACCCCATATACTGGCCAAAACAAATAAACTAAGCACAGATCCATAAGATTATAGCATTTGTTTCTCAAATGACATGTCAACACAAAGAATACATTAGTATATGGAATTTAAGGGTTTAGGTAACAGATACTATTGGGTAGAAGAGTAAAAAGGTAACCAAGAAAATCCAGAGGTCTACATAAAAGAAACGAGTACTGAATTAATATGCATATCTAGGCATAAGAAGCAAATAATGTTCATTGCTGGTCACTTGATCAGTGGTCACCAATCCCAAACATGACATTAGACAAGATATTTCCATCCCTTACATATAATGGAGCAGGATGCAACTAAATGTCAGCTTAGTTGCACTTTATCACATTTTCAGCATTAGTCACAAATTGTATAAATATTCCACTCCCAAGTATGCTATTTTTTGTTCGATACAAATTTATTACCAAAAATGGATAAACAATCATAAAAAGACATTTAAAATGGAACAAACAAAACTTTCCTCCTGCCCTCCAAAATAATGGCATACCCCCAATCTGAAAAAGAAGAAACAGGAATTTTGCAAAATTCTGAAGGAACTGAAGCTCACAGTAACGATTAAAATTAACGGTTATCCCATAAAACCTCTGCATCTCCCTAATACTATTACATATCGTCTAATTTATTACTGGCTACACCGCCAAAAACACATCCATCACTCAACACCTCCGTAGGCCTACGCACTCTTCTTCCGTCCCCCAATATGCCTTGTGCTCGCAAAATAGTGCCATGAAAGTTGCCGGAATTACCCAGCTTAAACAGCCTCCCAAAGGACCCAAACAATATCCACCCCCTATTTTAAGGCAAAATAGTGTCATGAAGTTTAGGGTATTAAGAAATAAAATTGTTAATTGGGTAGGACCCATCCATAGTATACTTCTATATAACTCAAGAAAAAACATTCAGGTAAACCTCTCTGAGTATTGAGCATCTTTCTATTCTTCAGAAACAACTTCTCAGTAAATAAATTCAATCACAAACCAAAAATAAAATAAAAAAGATCCTCTAAAAAGTTCCTTTCTTTATCATCATTTAGCTTATGAATATAATTTGAGGAAAATCATTGATTCTAACTTCAATAAATTCAAGTCAAATCAAACCCTTAAACGTGAAAAAGACCAAGTATAAATTCCTACATCAAGATCTAATGGAGCGTAGTGTACTGAAACTCATTTATTTCTTGGCCAACGACCCATTTCTTGATATTTAAGCTAATTCAATTGCATTACCTCCAATCACAATCAAGAACCCAATTTACCATTCAATAACTGTCAGCACAGAAATTCACCAACTTATGAAGAAAATTGAATTGAAAATTAACCCACAGTAAGTGGACGATAAATAAATAGGATAAAACTGTAAAAAAATTAAAAAAATTAAAAATTAATACCTCTTACAGTCTCGCATCTTGTCAGTGAGCTCTTCCAGCTGCCTACTCTGCCTATTCGAGTCCTTAATCTTCTCCAGCTTCTGAAACCCATTTCTGCCATGTATCCAAACACTAGACTATTAGAGCCTGTAACATTCAGGAACCACAAAATACTCAGAAATTCGATCCAAAGCAAAGCCAAACAGATGCTTACGACAATGCACGGAAGATATCGGTGATTTGTCCGTCGATCTCCGCCAGCTCTTCGCTGATTGCAGATAACGGATCCATCTCTCCAACACAAAGCAATCAAATCAAATCAAATCCAATCCTTCAGATCATCACAAAGCTCACAGATCCTCAGAAATCTCCCAATCAAATCCAATTGGCTTCGAACCGCTAACCAAATCGAATCGAATCGAAACAAATGCTAATACAAAGAATCAAATCGCATCCAAAACACATCGACTAAAGAAAATTAGAAATGCACGATGCGATCCGGGGCAATGTGGGTTGGGATGGGGATCGGAGGGTTGGATTGGAAGTGGGAACAGTGTCCCCCCGATCTGAGAAAACTCTTTCTTTATAATACAAAGAGCTTCCTCCTCGTGATTTACAGAGACAAAACAAATTATTTGGAATTTTTTTTATATTTAATTTTTGTTTTTGGTGGGGGAGTCTGGAGAGAGAGAGAGAGAGAGAGGGTTTAAAATTTACGCCAAAACATTTGGCCGTTTTGAAACGCTTGTTGGTTCGTTAGGAAGGAGGTGGGTGGGACCCCTGTCCGGAAAGATAAAACGCGTTTTTGTGCCGTTATATTGTTGTAGCCCGCCGGCGGTAGTTGTATACAGAGAAGTCGCAACGACAATACTCCAATGTTTTTCTTTCTCGGTTGGAACTTGGAAGGTTTGGGTTGGGAGGGGTTTGCTACAATTTTATTGATGCATGATACGATTCCTACAATACAGGAAAATCTCCTCTCTTTTTTCTTAAGAAGAAACGATAGTTAATTTATACATTGGTTGTACGATTAAGAAAAAATGTTTATGTTAAATTCCATTGCGAAGGATAGCAATGGGTCGAAGCAGTGGTAGGTATATCATTATCGTTCGCATTCCCATTAGGATTTTCCCTTAATACCCGTAAATTTCAAATTGAGGATTCCCATCCCCACTCCCAACGGGGAACGACTTCCCTGCCCTGTCCCAATTTAATATGCGGTGATAGGTACATACTATGTCTACTTCATAGGAAGGATGGATGGTCTCAACTATTTTTGTAGGGACATTGACGCAAGTATGTAGGTGCTCACTATAGAGAATGAATTTGTTGAACACAATCAAACGAGAGTAATTGCATAAAGTTGTACATACATGTCAAGCAAGCAACTCTACTGGTTCGAATTATGCAAGTAATCCTTTGACCTGAGACATCATAGCTGTCTTAGGTATACATTGATGATCAATTCACAAAGAGACATGACCACATCCCATCTTGGATACGTTCTATGTATTATTGGAGTCACTGACTTATTCTTGAAGACATTTGAATGTTCAACATGGAATCTCTAACCCTTAGTAAGAGAGGTAGAATACTCCAAAATATGATTTGAAAATTTTCGACTAAAGTATCGAGTGTAATAAAGGAAGACATTCCTATTCGTCTCAATTGAATCATATAAGTCAGGATGATCATATTAACGAATTGACGTAAAGTATTCATTCCCTAATAATGTGATTGGAATATTTACTTAGAGAATGATTGAGTTACATTGTAATTCCAACTGAATAGGTTCTCCAAAAAATACTACATTAGCATGGGTAGCCCATGACACGTGATTAAACGTCACTCATAGCTTGTGGGATTGATCATTAATCTAACAATCATCAATGTAAAGGAGAATAAAGTAGATTTCAATTCACTATGTGATTATACAAAGTAGTAACCACGTCACTGCCCCGCTAATTAGAACCTAAATTGACCATACACCAATACGCTTTTTGTGTAATGAGATAATTAAAAAATGGTGGAATTATTTAAGTAGACAAATTAAGTGATATGACTAATAAGAAAGCCTAAATTAATCATAGAAGCGATAAAACTTCATTTTTGGGCTTAAAAGTATTTTGGGTTCTATCGGGTCCATTGAGCCTAAACCAATTGGGCTTTTAATATAGGCATAAGATGACTTAAAGTGAGAAAGGCCCAAAGCAAAGCCCAATCCGTGTGTAGCCGATTCTAGCGTGCTAGAGTGCGAGGGAGAAAGTCACAAATGTTTGACACATCTCTCTCACTATAAAAGGGGACTTTTGAGTGAGGGTTTTTTGTGTTCATTTCATACAACAAAGAAGATAATCCACCTCCCTCTCTACACACAAGGTCAGCCACCTTACAGAGAAGATATTAGTTTCTTCTTTTCTCGTTTGTTATTTCTAGCATATATCTCACTACACTAGTTGGTGTGGATGTTTAGAAGCTATCTACTTTGGTAGCTTAAGGGGATCCAAGAAGATTCAAGGTGGAGGAAGCTCGGAGGAATGAGTTCAAGGAGCAAAGAAGTTGGTGAGACTCTTGGATTGGATTGAAGTCTAGATCCAAATCGTTCTCTTTGTTCCACAATACAATAATTTATAAACTAAATATATGCTTCTTGAAGGGGATTTGCTAGAATATAGCTTCGATTTATTTTTCTATTTCTGATTATTTTGATTGTACATGCATGTTAGTCACTAGAAATCTCATGTAGAATCTCTATATTTCTTTTCAAGTGATATCAAGAGTCATTAGGCGACAAAAATATTTTGATATATTAATTTTGTTTTTAGTTTAATCTCATCTTAAAAGTAAACTCATATGCACTTAGTTCCATTGTTTAAGTTGCATTAATTAATTAATTTGATTAAATAGTTAATAAATGGTTGACTATTAACTTAGGTCTTAATCTATAATTGAGCTATGTAATTGACCGTTAATCAATGAGATTGAACATTGGGAGTGTGTTTTAGTTATCAATTCAACTGGACTTACAACTAGTTAGACGTTAATCTATATATGTATGTATCTCTCTCTCTCTCTCTCTCTATACAAATGTAATTTGTAAATATTAGTACAAGTCGGTTTGTAATTCTTATTACTTTTCTACCTCTTTTAATGAGTTGGTTCCCTCTAGTGCCATACTATTTGTAACCTAATTTCAAGAAAGGAGGTGCATGGAGAAGAAGAGCTCAAGAGAGTACGATTAGTTGGGTTTAAAGCCCTACTTAACAATGAATGATTGTCTTTTGTTTCTAATATTGACAATGAATGATTGTCTTTCGTTTCTAATGGCTTAATGAAAAATATTTTAGTTAGACTATAAGTGCGTAATAAAACGACTCTATCCTCCCTATACCTAAAGTCAACAATGTTGGCTCGTTGTTGAAACATTTTAGCAAGTCCATAATCATCCAAAGAGTTTAAGACAACTATAAGTCCAATTCCAAGGAATGCAATATTTCCCTTAGTGGTAGTATATACTTTCAACATTTGAAAACTTGTTTTTGATATTGATTTGTTTTCCTAAACAAATAATGGGAGCATCATATGCTAGTAAACTAATTTAAAATGAGCTTAATAAGTGGTTATATACATCTCCATTATTTGAAAATTTATTTTTTATATTGATTTATTTTCTCAACAAATAATGAGGGTATCATATGCTACTAAGTTCATTTATTAGACTAATAGTGATAATAAGCACTTTTATTTTGATGTGATTAAATAAATAAAAGATGAGACATTAAAATCTCTCAATCAATATTTATTATTAAGTTGAGAGCAGAAAAGTGCTTCGAACACTTCTTCATGACTTTCCACCATAATAGGCTCTCATACACCAACTTCGCCTTTTCAGCATCGTATATTTTCTTTCTTTGTTTCACAATCGAGTTTTTTCGGTATTTTGTCTGAATTATTTCACAGTTGAGTTCAAACAAATTAATATCATGGACCGGTAGTATTCGGTATTCCTATGCTAGATTTAGATAAATTTTTAGGACATTGCCAGAGAAGCAATAAGAGCTAAATTTGGTTAAGGACTCAATTTTTTGGATTTGGGGTCCATTTCTTTTAGGGCTTTCACAAATTCACCATCTCATTCACCAAAACATGCACCTTTCTCAGCTTTATATTACTAGGGAGTTAAAGAAAAAGGGTATTTTGATCTCGGTTTAAATATTTGAGTTGTTATTGGATTTAATCCAATGTCCTATATTTTTTTTTACTTTAATTAAATTTCTTACTTTTGTATCTTTATTCACATTTTTAATTTGAATATTTAAACATGAAGAACTTACTTTTGCCAATGGTCAATATATCATAGTGGATATGATGTTGGTTTCTAGCAATATGTCCCAGTTCGACATTCTCCATTTCCCTAAATTATTATAATTTCGAACTCTCTCCCCTTCTCCTAAAATTTAACAAAGAAATTATATGTCATCACCTATGATATTGATCTAATATGGTGGTAGAAGAAAAATTGATATACAGATTGGGAGCACGAGAAACAATATTTAATTTTAAAATAAGTAAAAGATAATTCTATACACGAGACATAATATTTATCACAATTTAATAAAAAGATAATAAAAATAAACTGATGTGGATAATTAACGAACGGACCTAGTCTAAGAAAATGAACTAAACCCAATAATAACTTACAAAATTAAATTTATGTCAAGTTTACTCAAGAAAAGAACAAAAGGAAAAAAAAAAACTAATGAAAATAATTTCAAATCTTTACATTTTAATAAAAAAAAAATCACCTAATAACTTTATTTAATAATAAAGACAATAGAATAATTAAAAGAAAAAAAAAAACCCAACTTGTGTTGGGGCGCATACCCCCTTCCCCTCCACACCCCACTTTTTTTTGGACTAGGATTATCTTTCCTCCTCTTTCCATCCCATTCTATCCCCTCCTCTCACATTCTTTATTTTGTCTTTCTCTTTCTATAAAAAATTAATATAAGATGTTGACGTGACTTAACCGTAACTGTTTAAATAGGAGAGGAGGGAAGGGGAGGGAAAAAAAGGGAAGAGAATCCTACTCCACTTTTTTCTCCCGCCTTTTTCTCCCATTGTCAGCTACATTAATAGATTTCTTTTGTTTTTTTTTGCTCTATTTTTTGCTTAGAATAAGAAGAATACTTCAAATTAAATTACATTATCCAGATTTATTTTTGTGGTGTTGTTTCCCAATAGTAGTTATGATGACGATAAACTTTTCAACGTACTTGGAACACGGGGTGGTACATTCTATACAAGTTGTGAGATTCTTGTGTTAAAAAATTAATAACATAAAAAATAAAAGTTTCCACCACTTGCATAATAACACGTGGTATACTATTTGTGTTACGGGCACAGGGAAAAATTTCTCTAAGATGACACCCAAGCTCAAGAAATTGAATCAAGAGCTACATTTATTATTGTAGGTATGTAAAAAATGGGACGAAATTTTAATTTGGTAATTGAAAACAACTTTTTAAATATAATTACTGAGAATATAATCTTTTCAAGGTTTTGATCTATATAGTCACTTATGGGTTCATCGTTTTCGAAGCAATAGGTGCTTTTACAGGATCAAAAAAGGTCTACGTTTCAAACCTTATGAAACTGAACAAAGAATTAAACACTATTTATAAAACTTCACTAATAAGAAGACACAATTCATGAAACTAAATCAATAAGTA